TGCCGGTGCCGCCGCGCTGAGGCCGCTCTCCCCGCAGGTCGGGAGCCGCTGGGCGCCCTGGGGCAGCGCCCGGCCTGCAAGAAACGGCGCAAGTCGCGGACGGCGTTCACCAACCAGCAGATCTACGAGCTGGAGCAGCGGTTCCTGCGGCAGAAGTACCTCTCGCCGGCGGACCGGGACCAGCTGGCGGCCCGGCTGGCGCTCAGCACCGCCCAGGTCATCACTTGGTTCCAGAACCGCCGCGCCAAGCTCAAGCGGGACCTGGAGGAGCTGCGGGCCGACGTGGCCTCGCTGCAGGCGCTGCCCCCCGCCGCCCTCCAGCAGCTGGCGGCGCTGCCCGACGCCCCCCGACCCGGCACCGGCACCGGCACCGGCACCGGCACCGGCACCGGCCCCGCCGCCGCCGAGCTCTCGGAGGAGGAGATCGACGTGGGGGACTGAGGCGGCGGCGGCGGCGGGGGCCGGGGGGGGTCCCGGGCCGGCACCGAGACTGACCGAGCCGCCGGGCTGGACGGGGCGGCCGCGCTGCCCCCGCTCCGGGGGGAATTGGTGCAATTTTTCTCTTTTTTTTTTCTTTTTTTGTCCGTCTTTCCTTTTTTTTTTTTATTTTATTTTCTATCGTGTCTGTCCCGCCGGCCCGTCCGCGGCCCTGCCGCCCCGAGAGCCGGGGGCACGGGGGGGCCTGGCCCGGCCCGCCCGGGTGTAAATATTTGGAATAAAGGCGACACCTTATTAAGGAGCGCGGAGGGGCCCTGGCGGCCGGTCGGACGGACGGTCTCCCCCGCACCCCCCGGACCGCGAGCACACACCGGGGGGATGCTCCGCTCTGCCGGCTTACCCGGGCCTGGGGGGCCTCGCCGGAGCACCAGAGGCCCCCCCACCGGAGCCCCCGGCTCGGCTGCGCCCATCCCCGTGCCCCCGGCCGCCCGCGCCCCCGCACTGCCCCGCGTCCGAGAGCAGAAGGGTCCCCTCGGGGGGTCCGGCACGGCCGGGGATGGGGGGAGATGTTACCCGGTACCGACCCGGGCGGGGGGGTGGGGGGTGCCGGCCCCG